CCTTTAAGTTTTTGTTTATTTATTTTGAGGAGAGGGGGAGGGGCAGAGAGTGAAGGAGAGAAAATCCCAAGCAGCTTCTCTGCTGAACTGGGGCTGAAACTTACGAACCGTGAGGTCATGACCTAAGCAGAACAATACTTTTCTTTTGCTAATAATTTTTCTTGCCCCACCATCTTTCCTGGAAAATAACCTTCCATTTTGTACAACTCCCCGGAACTCCCTTCTACTTGCTAGACGGAATACTGACTGATTCATGAATTATTAAATAAAGCCAATTAAAGTCTTCAGATTTACTTGGTTGAATTTCATTTTTTTAACAAGTTCAAACATTTGTTGACTGTGCTAGTAGTATAGTAATTGCATACGTCAAGTGTATGTGCAGCAAGAAGAGGGGTCCCTAACTAAAAATGGGGGCCTCATGGAGGTGCCTGGCTGGCCCAGTCGGGGGAATGTGCAACTCTTGATCTTGGGATTGTGGGTTCAAGCCCCATGTTGGGTGTAGAGATTACTTAAAAATAAAATCTTAAAAAAAAGGTGGTCGTTGGGGGGAGGGGGCACCTGGGTGGCTCAGTCAGTTGAGCGACCCATTCTTGATTTCGCCGCCCAGGTCATGATCTCACGTTTCATGAGATGGAGCCCTGCATTGGGCTCTGCACTAACAGCACAGAGTCAGCTTGGGACTCTATCCCTCTCTATCTCTCTCAAAAAGATAAGGGCATCATGGAAAGCTTCCTAGAGGAATGGTTTCTGGAGCCTGAGCCAAGTTTAAAATTATGCATACTTCTAAAGAGAGGCCGATACTCAAGGAATTATTGGAATTAATATACTATACTGGGGAGAAAAAAAAATCATGCGAATTTCAGTTGGGAAACAAAATAAAGGAATGAACTGTGAACCCCAAAAGTAGACTACATTGTCTTCAAAAGAGAAGTCTCCATCAAGAGTGAGGACCCTTGTGGCTCCCTGGGTATACGCATGAAAATGTGTGTTTATTCGTGGCTCTGCCATTCGCCTATGGTGCAACTCTAGGCAAGTCGCTGAGCAATTTCAAACTTCTCATCAGTAAACATCCTCTGAAGTCCATTTGAAGTCCCTCCCAAAACAGACACTAAATTTGGTTGCCCCTCTCTGCTCTGCTGATTATAGCAGCACTGACCTTAAAATACCTCTTCCAGTCTTTAGAACACTTCCCAGTCTCCAGATTAACACTCCAACAGGGGAACACTAAATATCAAATCTCAGCAAAGTGAAAGTTTAGGTTTCTACTTTTTCTATTAGTAGATTACTTGGCTGACATTTATAGAGTATCAGGCATAATGTACCATATAAATTAATAATACTTATACAACATACAGCAAGCTTTTATAAAAAAATAAAATAAAACAGCTCTGTCTCAGGGCGCCTGGCTGGCTCAGTTGGAAGAGCATGTGACTCTTGGTCTTGGGGTCATGAGTTCAAGCCCCACGCTGGTGTAGAGATTACTTAAAAAAAATTAATTAATTAAAAAAAAAGCAAACAGTTCCCTCTCTACTTTAAAACTCCGGATAAGACATGACCTGATTTTGGGATGAGACACGAAGGGAGATGACAGCCTTGTGGGCTACCACAGTCAGGGAGGAATATGAGGGTGGGACGTTGTCACCAGCTAGACCCCAGGACCTGGCCTTTACTATCCACCTGCTACACGCATTAACTTGTGTGTTACATTTTTCCCTAAGCTCTACTTTCTGGCTTTTCCCTTAACTCAGACAAATGAAAACCAAAACCAACCCCCCCCCCTGCAACAACCCCAGGTGATGGCGACTGCCTTGACAAGACCTCCTACTGGCCCAGACCACCCAGATCATTTATGCTAAACCAGCCTGGAGCTTGTGCGGTTGGCCCATGGAGTGAGCTGTGGAATAACTTATGATTATCTTTATCTCATTATAATACTAAAATCTCCACCCAAGGAGGAGCTTCAGTGTCATTTACATAACACACGATGTCATATTGTCATGTTTCCTTAAGGTGCATGTGTGATGTTATGCTCACCTCTACACAGGAAGACAAGGCTTCCCAATCCAAATATTCATCCTAACACTGAACAAAAGGAACCCATTCACCCTCTCTCAGGCAGTCATGGCTTTGGAAGCCAGTCCCCATGATCTTATTTGCTGCATACAAAAGTTTTCTTTGTGGGAAAACGCAACCTGGTGCAGTTTCTGACTCACCAAGGCACCAACTCATGTTTGTTTGGTTACAACATCAGCTCACTTTACAACAGGGTTGAATTGGGACAAAACAGAAGAGCCTGTCAGATGGGGAATTGTTCCAGAAATGAAGGAAAGGGCCTGAGAGGGCAAAGAAGAGGCCAGTATGCTTAGAGCAGAGGGTTCACGTTAAAGAAAAGGTGAA